TTGTTCATAGAAGAGTAAGTGCGATAGCCTTATTCTATCCCCATTGGCCGACTATAAGGGAAGACCCAAGAGTAACTGCGATAGCCTTATTCTAGCCCTATTGGCTTCCTAACAGCGAGCCGTCGCAAGTTCCCCTACATCTCCCACTTTTAGGCCCTGTGTGACGTCAGGGGCTTCACTTTAGGTTTGTCGCACAGTAGAACACCAGAGAACTCAGAGCAAGAAGGTAACACCAGAATCCAACGATAAACGAAAGTTCAACAAGTGACAGACACTGACAGAACATACACGACAGGCAGGGGTTGTAACCTGGATAAGTAAAGTACAATTAAGCACAAGGTGTGTCGATTAGTTCCCAACCTATAAGTTGGGTGGTCCTTCGACGGTAAATTTAGACGGTACTAAGAAGGGTGCAATACACCTGGACGGAACTTTAAAGCTTGAAGTATACGTCCTCGACATATAAATTATACGAAATATTTAAGATATACAGAGCGTTTCAAAATTTAAAATGCACTGATACAAGGTGTTTTGGAAATTCAAGCCTCCCTGATTAAATTCTTATATCAATATCTGTACCGGTTGAGTCAGATTCTGTTTAATTCGACCGATTCAACGACTACAGGTAGTTTCAAAGTGCACGGATAGCTTGAATATAGCATCTCGTCGAGCTGCTCACTTTTTCGCCGGAAATGGCGAACGAGGGAGAGGTTGGAGACAAAGTAAACGAGTCAAAGTAAGCCACGGACTCGGGAGACGCGAATTCTCGTTATGGTTCTTGGCTGAAAAACGCCAGTTCTCGTCAAAGGAGTGATTTCCTTCGAGAATAAAATGGCACTGGAAGTCGTGGCCGCGGAAACGAGCTCGTTCACTCTTGAGAGCTCCATGGAGATGATTTAAATAGAAACAAGTTCCATCAGAATCAAACGAAAATCTTTTAACCTTTAAAAGTACGAAATAATCGAGTCTTATTGTAAATTTCACCAAATCTACTGGACGTTTCATAAATTGTGCGAAATGTTTCTCTTTTAATTGAACAGGAAGCTTATCTGATGCAGCACGATTTTTAAATTAATTACACTACACAGCGTTCTTCGCCTTTCAATTTCAAAATTTAAAACGTACTTCTGCAAAACGTATTTCTGCATCTACGAACATTACTGTGCAATATCGATACACCGGGTGCTTTATAACTAACGTGCAATTCTTTTGCTCTATTTGTAACAAATAAAATTCCCTGACAATATAATCTAGAACTTGTCTGTGTTGTTTATTTCTCTTCTCGACTAGTACTTTGTTCGATTAATTCTGTTGAAATAATGACGCACAGGGAACGGTTTTGGCGAGAAGCCAAAAAAGAATCTGGCGTGTCGGAAAATTAAGAGAACAGTAAACTCACGTAATTGCGCTGATCATGTCCAAACCCATTTCTACGCAACAACGCGCATGATCAGGCCTTGGTTCCGGAAGACCGGAAACGCAATAATAGCAGTCACCCAGCAGCTTGATTCGCAGGCAATGGTGCTCAGCCGCCAAGGTGTCAAACCTTCAAACAGAAAAGAAATATTTCCTCTCTATAAAACGGAGAATCAAGGAATATTTCAAAGAATAATTTCAGCGAACACCCCCTGCTAGGGGAACACTACCCTGACTAGAAAAATTAAAGAATATTTTTTGCAACAGTGATTATTAATTTTTATTAGTCTTGAATATGCTTTTGTTAGAAATACGTGAGAGCACTTCCGCATCTGACGGTATGTATCAATACGTCTCCTATGGTATAAGGCAGAGCGTAACTTCTTGCTCACGTGCAAATTTCCCCTCCCGAGGTTCCCCCACTGTGCGACTGAGATGATCTCGCTCGAGTTACGGCGCAGCGTGAGGACGCGAAAAGGAGACCTTCCGCCACAACTCCAGCGACTGCCTTTTGTTTATGTTACACATTCTGCGTGTTCGTACCAGTCATTTCGTACCAAAAAGCTATCGCTGGAGTTGTGGTGGGGGTACCTCGGGAGGGGAAATTGCTCGTGAGCAAGAAGTTACGCAGCTCTGGTACAAGGGGACGCGCTTTTGTTCCAGGGAAATCCCCCGGGTAGTTCAGTTTTTTCGGCGAACATGGTGCCACGTGTGACGTGATACGTTATAATATATAGTCGGGGCCACGATATAGCGAGGTCGTAAAATCGGTCAGACGTCAAAGTAAACATGTTTTAGCTGCCGGGACCCGAAAATTGACAGAGATACGAGCAGATAAGTACTTGAAACCATTGTCAGGACCGTACGAAGAATTCTTGTATCCAGCGAAAGTCAACTGATTCTAATATATTTACTGAAAACTGCATGCAGCTAGGACAAATTAGGGTTTCTCCCTCTGGGGGAAGCCGCTTTTGGAAGTACGGTTACAGGTAAAGGTCTTATTGATGTCTTTAGCATCTTAGTTTATCTACTCGTGTTATATACAGATAGAAAGTGCAAAAAGATTGTGTAGCTTAATATTAACATATTTTCCATTTGTAAATGAAATACCATTTTCTACTTGAAGTACCAAAGTTTATTGTTGGAACCCTTGGTCCACGCAACTGTTGCTTGTTATAACTCCGTTAGCAGGACAGTTACAGAAAAATGACAGAGGAAGGTGAATGGTTCAAAGAGCACTACACCTTTGGGACCATGGTTTTTATTTAGAAGTGCAATGGTTTACGCGCAATCAACAATTGCATAATTTTTTAAAATGGAAATGTATACTTTTTTTTACACGGATAAATTCCTCTCGTCATTCTACGTAAAAAAGTATCGAGGTATAATGGTGGGAAAGTGATTAGTTATCGAGATATTTTTAAGTCCAGGGGACATAAATTGGGTGAGCGTGGTGGCCGTGTACCACCCTGTATAGTTTGAGCGTTCTCAATCGTTTTTATTGTGACACCCGTCATTTTTTAAATATAACTTTAAAACAGCGTTGGTCTTCAATTGGAATATATAAAATTAAAATGGTGTTCTAGATTGTCGAGTGGACAGTCGACACACTTACCAGGCGAAAAGCTTGTTCAACAATCGGACGACCTCCTCCGCGGTGCACTGATCGGAGAGTGAGGTGAACCCGCAGATATCAGCGAACAAGATGCTGGAAAACGGTTAGTAACTGCATTCTTCTGGTGTCTGATTCGTAATTAAGTCACCGTATTAATTGGAATTCGTTAGCGGCACGTCACGCCACTTAACGAGCCTAAAGTGGCAGACGCGTGTTACTCTAACGTGTGACGGACGCGTGGATTAGTCTGGTCGCATAATGGCGCTAGGTGTACAGTGTCGTTCATAATTTATCCACCGGAACAAGCCTCTCTAGCGATTTTTTATTTCCTGTTTAGTACTTTGGGATTATGTACCTTGGAGTATTCGCGTTTTGAGCATGTTTCACTCAATGTAGGTTGATTTGAATTTATGTCGAGGCTAGCACTACGATCCGAATCGTTTCAATTTATAGTAACACTAATGGATCATTTTTTAATTCCCTTTTTTGAATTTTGGAAAATTTTTGCTTAGTAAATTTTGAATTTAAACGATGGAAAAAATGGAGGACCTAACCTAACCTAGATTTGACAATACTGACTGGAAAAATTTCCATAAAAAAAAAAGAAATAAATAGAAAGTATTTTTTTAAATTTTCATTAAGAAAAGTTTATTCTTTCTGAATATTGGCCAATAATTTGTGGCTGTAGACAAAGTAAGTATCTAGGTTATGTGTTCTGGAAGCCATTTTGGTGTACCGTTTCAGCTGTATTTAAAGAAAGAAAAAAAAATGCTCACCTGACGTTCTCGTGCCTTTGAATGTAAATTTTATGGAACATTGTGTCCTTTGGCTTGCCCGCGATGTCGGATTTCATCTCCATGGCTACGTGGCGCGGTAGCACGCTCAATAGAAGCCGTTCCTGAAAAAAAATTCGAGAAAATTCACCGTCAGGATACATAGAATGCAATTCACCAGCATCGTATAGGGATTCGTGGCTCGCGTCCTCGTAACGCTACGCGGAAATATGGTTGGAAATTTCGTTTCCTTATATTGTTTCCCCTTGTGCTTTCTATCGGAGAACTTTTTAAACCGATCGTAAAAAATTCTAGTTCATTCAGAGGTTATTTGAAAGTGAGGTTAGGTACTGAGTAGATTTCCCACTGAAAACGAAAGAAGAGTAAATTGGAGTTGAATCAGAAGATGTTGAAAAGTGAGGTTAGGAATTGGGTGGACTTGGAACTTCTATTTTTTAAATTATTCTTCTAATTATTCTCACTTTCTTCAAATTAATTTTATGTAGATTTTAGGTTAGGTTAAATTCGGTAATTTTAGCTGAGCTTTGTTGAGTCTCCAATTACATTTTTCTGTTTAAAGTGAATTTAAGCGAAAAAATTCGCAGATTCTATGTTGAAAGCAGAAAATTAAAAAAAAAACAGAAATTCCAATATCTTATTTATGATTAATCTTTCAAATATCAAATATTTTCAAATTTTTCTTTCAAAGGTGGTAACTTAAAAAAAAAAGGTAGAAGAAACCACCATTCGATCGTTTGTGTTGGAAACGACCTTCTACAGGCCACATGGCGCCACTTTAAAATTCACGACGGCGCCATTTTGATATTCCTAGGTTATCCAATCACCTCAATAAAAATTCCCCATAAAATTGTACGATCAACCTAACCTAAAATAAACAGGGATAAAAAACTGCGGTAAAAATTGGAATCACAGGTTGTGCAGTGTTTGGTTGTGGTTTCTGACAGATGCGAGGTTAGGTGAATGGCGTCTTGACCGGATTTATTAGGTGTACCGCGAGCTTCCTGCATCACATGGTTAATTAACTGGCTGATGGGAATGCCAGAGGGAATTCAGGAAGTCGTGGCTGTTAATAGTGACAAATCGAGACGTCGAAGGATCCGTGCTTTGCTTGCCGATGAAATTACCGGGCTGAATGTTCGCGAAATTGAAATATTCAATGGCGTAATTCTAGACGTCTAACTAATAGATTGTGTGAAGTCTTGAAGTAAGCATGTTTCTACCTAAACAACTCATTTAATGTAAATTTGAAGTTCTTCCCACTCCAGGAAAAGTAAAAATAATTTTTTTGGTATAGGTTATGTTGATGAATCCTTTCAGAAATATTTAAAAAAAATTCTCCCAGTCATAAGCACCTGGTGTTATGTTCCTTTCTTTTTACTATAAATAATCATACTTTCAAAATTTTCATTGCTCGAGTAAAAAAAAAGAAAAGAAAAAAAGAACGACCGTACCTCCAATTATTTCTGACTCAAAAATCATACTGAAAATTCCCATATCGCGCCGATAAAACGTATTCGTCACCTACAGTTTCTATTAATCATTTTTAATAGTCATTCACGTAAATCGATCGATATCCGATCGAAACCTGCTACCAAATCCAATACACCGGGGCAACAAAGCAGGCCAACTTAATTGACACTTCATCACGATGGGGTGGACAGTGGCGCTACGTGACTTCCAGCGGAAACAGTGTGCATTAGCCGATCAGGGAATGATTTGAAATTGTACGCGACACTGCATGCGTGCAACCTGTTGTCGCGTCCTCTCTCTCTCTGTGCTTTCGATCGATTTATCCCGCGTCAAATTAGCCGTGGTAAAGGGCCACTGCAATTTCAGATTCTCCATTGGGTAACAGGAGAAACCGAGCGCTGAATATTTCATAACCTCAATCGAAAGCTAGGGGATAAATAATGGAGAAGAACATGGCCATTTGGCTGCATTTGGCTGATTGGTACTCCTGGAAGAAATATGATCGAAGGTTTTATATATCGAATAGCAATTTATTAGAAATTTCACCTAGAACACATTGTTTTTGTCATTTGGAGCGATAAATTATTGAAACTCGAACCTTCAAGAATTGTCCTTCCGGAAATTTTTACAAGTATGAACAATAATAACACTTTCTACATACCTAGAACATTAAATAATTAATAATTCACTATGTTTCCACTTGATAATCCACATACCTTGTATGACAAATTACCAAAAATGAAGATCACAATATCGAATGGAAATTGTCAGAACCGTAGCCTACAATTAGATTCCACAAAAATCCGTAAGTTTACCTTCTCCCACCCCAGGAAAATGTCGAGTTGATTTAATTATTTTCCCAGAGTCGATTCTAGTGCAGCTTTCCTTCAGAAAGTCGGAAGGCTTTAATTTCTTCCCCTTGGAAATTCCATCCCGAGCGAACGAACGAACGAAATTTAATTTCGTTAAGGACAAGCGTAATTCAGTTCCCTCTTCGTTGAAAACTGTGCACGAAGGGGGTGAGGATGGTCCTGGAATTGATTGTGTATCCGAATAATCATGAAAGGCTGCAGACTGGCTGGTCAGAAATTGCGCAGTAATCCAAGTTGTCTCGCAACTCGGTCGCGTATGATCTGACGTGAACGATAATGGATGGAGCGTCTCGTTTCAGCCGGAAACCTGTGGCTTATCGGCTCCCAGGCAGCTTATCAGCCGCGGTAAGAACGGTGCATTACACAATCATGAAATATAGATGGCCACGCGACGTGAAAAACGTTGATGATGGTTTGACAACCTTCGTTCCTCCTCTAGTGATACTTATCAGGGATTTTCTTGCATAGCGTTCGAGAACTTCCGGTAAATCGACTGTAAGCTATATAGAGGATGGTATGAAGAATATTTTTTGTCGAATAAACATATAGTCTATACCGCTTCGTTTAGCAGTAATGCAATTTTAAAGACGCTGAAGTTACGCGCCTGACGACAGGCAACCCACCCAGTACCTTCTTTTCTTGTGAGATTTTGAACAATCAAGCTTATGGCTGAATAGAGGACAATTAGAGGAACATTTATGTCGTATAAACCTGTACTCTATCTCGTTTCGTTCTTCAGCAATGGGGCTCGAAAGATACAGAAGTTAGACGCCTGACGACAGGCAACCCGCCCAGTACATATTTTTCTTTATTGTAGAATTTCAATGAAATCTCGTATGAAACATTATGTCACCTAGGAAATCCCATTAGAATCATCAACGTTTGCCAAAATTTTGCTTATCAACGAACCATAGTGCTACGTGTTCCAGCGTTTGCTCCACTTGCAAAATTTCGGTGTTACGCTGAGTATAGATAACCGAAATTTCACGGAACACAGGAACTTGGAGTTCGTGGAACTCTTAGTGGAGTGCATGCACTCGCGATTACGTTGCACAGGCCCGGGACAACGTGCTCGACATTGGCTTATAGTTGCCGGCTTATCTCAGCCCTGCGATGCACACGCATGACTTACCTTCCGTGAACTTTGTATGCGGAGTGAGGTTATGTTCACACACGTGTCAGTGTCGAAGCCACGCCAAAATGCGGCCACATTTTAACACTGATAAGCTAACTCGTCCTCTGCAATTGTGCACGTGCTTTTTATCTTTACGGGCGATTTCGAGGTTAGGATTCCGATATTTCAAGAAGCCTGGATGCCTGATATTCTTCATTTTAGCGGAAGACTAAATGCAATATCTTGATCTACTAACCCAATTTCTTTCCAAATATTTTTATTTACAAAATAGACCGTCTAACTAATAATATACTATTATGTTCCTCTGTCACAATTTATTTATTCATTTCTTATCATTTTTTTATATTTTAAAAGAATCAATAGGACATGTCTGCAGAGGTTAGAAACTAAATAAATATTCGAATTTCTAAAATAGAAAAAATAAATTACTGCGTACTTCTCATAATACAATTTATTTACTTATTTATTTCTGTACATGAATATGTGGTACCGGAGGCTGTTGAGATTAGGAAAAAGACAGGAAGAAACCAGGTAGACATCCAATTTCGCAGGTTGTTAACCGGCCACCTTATTTTTAGCCATCACGCGAAATAATTGTCGAGAAACGCCGGAAGTCTATTAAAGATACTGTGTTATCGGGCATCGCTTATAATTCCAGTGAACATTCTAAGCCCGTGACTAAGTCCATTGTGCAAGTTTAATCGGGTATCCGTGACCTGTCGCGATAGCGATCGGCCACTGTCCAGGCTCGCTTGTTTATCAACCCTAAAGTCCCTGTCTCGGTTCGTTTATTTCCCCTGTCACTGGCTAAACGTCCCTGAAATTAAGATTCATCACCTTTCTGTTCACTCGTCACCTCTCCTACTACCAACTTTCCCCTATTCGTCACCATTTTTTTAATTACAATTTTATCCACCTTGGAACTTTCGTTTCCTGCTTTGAACATTCTCTGTCACTTCAATTTAGAATTGACGTCTGATTGGGAAAAATTGTTCAAAATTGTTACCGGTTGAATGTTCAGAAATTTGAAGATTGACAAATCTAGGGATTTTCTCTCACAATGATCAGGTTAAGAAAGCCTGTTAATTTTCCAATATCATCACTCAGAGTTTTATTCACTGACTACATTCCATTATTCGTAATTTGTTGATTCTAGTTTTCTCAGTTAGAAAATTCTCAGGAGTTCTTTCAAGTCGATGACTCTAAAGATGATTAAAAGTTACTAAACACTGGAAATTCTCGAATTTAAAAGAATTCGACTGTCTAGAGATTTTCTTGCACATCGTCTTTACAAACAAGCTTTGTTAATTTCCAGATTCCTCTAGCGGTCCAGTTTACTTAGTTTCCATGAAAGCTTCACTCGTCGTTTGATGGTTTACCAGCACAGAAAGTCTGACGAAATAATTTCACTAAAAGTCCCTAGTGCCTAGGAACCTACTGCGTAGCAGAAACAAAAAAAAATTCCTATCTGAAAGTATTAAACCTGAAACTTTCTATTTTCATTTCCAAGCCTTTCCGGTCCGTTCTTCGCGTTTCAATTACCTCGTAAATTGTTAAACAAATTCAAAATGGCGTCTGTACAACTGCACGTTAACACTATGGTATTTAGAATAATAAATTCACCTGTTACAATGCTCGACAGGCATATTTGGTACACGTGACCGGTGATGTCATTAATAAACAATTAGGAAACTGCATTAATTAACGGGACGCCGGTGCAAAAGGGTAACTCTAATGATCCGAATTTGGTTAGGTTGTTTCGTTGATGAAACTAGTACGGGTTGAACGCGTTCATCAGTTCTAGCTCGACTTTCAAACTTGGTAATTTTAATGTCCGCACAAATGACGTCCATAATTGAAGTTAGCTGACATAACGGGGGCAGAAAAGTCAATACAAAATCTTCATTGGAGTTTTTCTTCGTGACTTGTTTGTCGCATGACTGGTGTTTGTAAAAAAATCGAGCGACGTAGGATTAAATGTTTGGTTAATTTTCTCGAAACTTTTTGTCTGCTTTTTTCTCAACGTCTGTGAAATATTTTCTTTCTTTTCTGTATTTATATTTGAGATTAAAGTGAGTGTTACAGAGAAGAAAAGGGTGTGAATTTTCGTTTGTTTAATTTAGCTTAATTTTTCTGCTTATTTTTATGGGTTGCAAATTGTTGGTTCACTTGTTCCAATATCTTTTTGTCATCGATATAAATTCACAGTTTAAATGGAATGTACAACAATGGGGTAAAATGACTTCTCGCGTAAATGATTCACGTTCTCGACCGTACCCGTATTTTTGAAATGTTTGGCAGGTGTAACATTTCCGTTTTCACGGGCGTAATAATAATCTATTGTTCGGAGAATTATTTACGAGTCGATGGAATTAGTTTGGTAATTTCTGCAATAGTTCGATGCTTTGTTTTTTTTTTTTTTTTAAATATCGACAGAAATAACAATCATAAACTCGATTAATTTTTTCGATTGATTTTTTGACAAATTCTGAAGTGAATTTTTTAAAAATTATTTTTTGCTTCGGTGAAATGTGATAATTACAGATTATTTTATAAATTTTTGAAATTGTCATATTAACCAGTCAGCTGTTGCGACCTCTTTGGAAAGTGTGTACCTAAAATGTGTCGCCAAAAGTAAGCGATGACAATGTAGAATTAAGAATTATAATATATAATTAAGTTGTAACGAAACGACTGTTTTATTTTTTAATTTTATTACCGACAGGGCTTTTTGGTAACTGTCCTGAGGTGATGAATGTGTGAAAAAGAGATTTGTTTGAAAATAGAAAAAAAAGTAAACAGCAGAGTAGCAGTAACAGTAGTTTAATATGTTTTAGTTTTCACTAAAATTACAATTTAAACAGGAAATTGTAACTACTTTTTACACATGACGAGTATACTCGTCGTAACACAATATATTGCCATTTCTTCATGACGAGTATACTCGTCAAGAACAGCTAACTGGTTAAGAATATTCTTTTCGGTGCTTGAAAAAATGATGAGAAATGTTTATCGATGAATTTGACGGATAAGTGTCCTACCTGTTGCTGATTTTCTCTTTGCGTGGTCAGACGAGCCTCGACGCATTGTCTAGTCTCGAGGAAGGCTTGTCTTTGCGCTAATTCTCGAGGATGGTGCGTCAACACGCCCGCCATATTGGTTCCACCCACGACGACGATAGAACTCAGCAGCTGTAGCAGAAAATTTAGTCCATCGTTGAAATGGAAACCTCGGGAGACATTAAAAGAGCACAAAATAGAACGAAACGTTGAAATTATCTTAGAAATTAAAAATAAAAATCGATATCTTTTGAAATTGAAAGTGTTACCAAAGTGTGGAGTAAATAAAATTAGGAATTGCGGGATATTAACAAAAATTGGGATTCCGAAAAATAAAAATTTGAATTGATAAAATTAAAAATCGTGAGATAATTAAAAAAAATTTACAATAGACGTATGAAATTTTTAAAAAATCTGGGAACCGTAAGAGGGAGTATGTTAAACAAATTTCCCTGTTGAGAAGCGACTTTTGGCTGGAGGATCCCCAAACGACAAGAGAAGAGCGAGAATCGGGTACAAGGCGATTAAGGAAGGCTCAACACGGTCGATGGGAAACTCTAATACTGGATTACCAAAGTGGAAGAAAGGGATCAAGAATGGAAGTACATATCCCGAAACGGCAGCCAACTCCAGATAAAAGTAACACAGTTGAACCTTCGTTAATACTCTTAATTGATTCCTCTGAATGGAACCTAAGCGTAAAACGTTCAAACTCGCGTGTTCACTTTTAGGGGATTCTTCGTATTAATCTGTGTGAAGTAATTAAATTTCTTTACGGAAAATTTTCAGGTATACTGTGCAATGGCGACCACCATGTTGTTTCTAGTCCTTCCGCCATATTGTTCCTCATACAGCATAGTTTAATAAATACAAAATAATTTTTGAAATGGAAATATGGAATATTGGAAATTTTTGGAAATCCTTGCTTTCAAATTTCTGGACACCTAAATTTCTCGTCGAACAAAAATTCGTTAAATAGAGCAATGGGAATGTGCAAATTAATTTTCTTGGTTCAAAATTCTCTTGATTTCTCAGAAAACAATACAGTGTTGAAAAAATATTTGTAATACCGATAGAAGTATAAATTTTGCAATGGAGATATCCTCAGTCTGAGCCAATTTCGCACAATATCGATACGCATATAAAAATGGCGGTGATTACTTTACGGACACCCGGTGTGTGGCATTAAGAGAAGCCAGTTTCTGAGCAGAGCGACATTTCCTTGGCGGAAAGGAGCCCGTAGCCGGTCAAAGGGTCGGTTTATTGAGTTTACGAAGTTGCAAGCAGGCCGATACACATGCAAGTATACTAATTGCAATGGCCACTCTAATTAAACCGATGCCAGCACCATGAAAAGCACTTGGTACGCGCGGAACCGAACCCCTTTGATGTCCCCTCAACGTTCGAATCGACATTGTCCATTCGTGCTTGGATTTCTACTGGGATATTAATCGAGCTGCCACATGTGCTGTCGGAGAATCCATGAAATTTTCGGTTTAGGAATTAGAGGTTAGGTCAAACCCGTCGGAAGTTACGGTACTGGGAGAGTGATGGTGATTACGGTCGGTTTGGAATGTTAATGCGATTGGCTATCCGGGAAATTCAATGGGATTAGAGAACTTAGGGAATTTCGAAATTTTTGGTTTTTTTCTTTTTTTGAGGTTAGGAAAGTACGAATTTTGATTATCGATGAAGTGTAGAGCTGATGAGATTGAATAGTAGAAATTTGAAATTGATAAACTTAGGAATGTAGAAATCATGGAAATTGATGAAAATCGAAATATTGGAACATTTCGAAGTATGAAGTGTAACCTATTAATTTTTGAAATAACAGAGCAGTGAATTTATTTTCGGACAATTTCTCACATGCTTTTACGAACTGCGTTTTATTAAACGGTGTGTATAATCCATAATCTAGTTCAGAGATCTCAAAGAAGTTCCCTAATCGCAAAACTTATCTCCAACGATCGGTGGTCAGGTGAATTGATCCGCAACCACCTGTAGGATTGCTCGATTCCCTTACGTGTGCTCCATTTTCACACCAATTTCTCCCTACCACTTTGCTTTCTTTTTTTTTCTCGATTATTTTTTTTTTTTTTTTAACTAACCTTTCCAACACACGTTCCATTATTCGATTTCCCATTTGTTTCTCCGTGAACAAATCAAAGCTAAATCAAATGCCATCTCGTTTCGTTAATTTGATTTGTTCCGTCCGATACGGAACACCGTAATTAAAGATTCTCGAAGGTTAGTTTATGACATGGACGTGACAGACAGTTTATTTTCGTGTTTATTTTTCGTTAATAGTTTCAGAGTCTTATTTTTTCTATAACCGGCAATTTGTGCCTTCGCGATAGTAGTAGTTTTTACACAATAGCTTTAGAATTTCGTTTCGTTCGTCTTAATAACCGACCAGGTCATAAACTCGGTATTTCCGAAAGGTCGGCTAAAACATGTGTATAACGGTCCTTGTAGTTAAGAGTCGACCTGGAGGAATTTTCCGCGACCCATCGAACCTTCGAGAAACCCCCCATACTTAGACAGTGCCCTCACCCCCGCTCTGAGAAGGGCAAGAAAAGGGGGGTTACTTAAAATTTAAGTAGGACTTCGTAGACGACGACGCAAGTATTCACTTCGTAGCTTACCATGCACGGATTCACATCAACCATATACATAACTGTACCCTTGGTGCAGTCACACAAAAATACACTTCGTATCACTCACTAAACAAATACAGTCCACTAAACACATATTCGACTGGGACTTCAACGAGTGAAGTTCCTCCGCGTCGTTTAATCGTCGCCAACAAACCGTCGACGCTGCGACGCATATACATGATTCGTTCAAGAGCATCCAAATAGCAACCAAATTTTCTCGTTTAATTGACACGAAAACATTGATCAGTCAGAAAATTAATAATAACTCGGTGCAAATAAAATGTCCGGTAGAATTTTTCATCGAAGTTCTCCAATTTTCTTAATTTGCAGAAAATAAATTTATAAACGTATGAATTTCTCGTTTAATATGAACGAAATATTGTCTCAGATTTAAAAAAAAAAGTCCAAATTTTCCTCTACAACGAAGCAATTTCGTTTCGTGATTAGAATAAAAATGCCAACCTCCAGCTAGCGCAGAATGAAATCGTATTAACCGAGTAATTAACGAAGAGGCTTGTCATGCATGTCTGAGAGCAGCGAATTATTCACGAATCCCGGAAGATTATCCTCTGAATTATTCAGAACAGGCCCCCGCGTTTCGAGTTCATTCCCTGGCCAAATTTGGATCGGTGACTTTGTGTCTAGTGAATTAATTATTCATCTGGGTCAGCCTGGAGCCCCGTAAAGCAGCCCATGGGGGTTCAAGGTTTACCATACAGGCCACCAAATGGCAGCACCGCCGCTAATCTATTAGAAAATTAAATCCAATTCTTCTGATTCTCCGAGTATTCGTATAAAATGTCTGCCGAGTCCCATATATGCAATCTTTATCCCAAATGAAATTCGTTAATTACTTTTTCCCTCGAGAAGAGTGTGCTTACGTTGTAAATTCAAGATGGCGTCGCTGCTTAAACTCGGCGTAACCTCGATAGAATTTTCCAAGCGGAATTTAGAAATTTTTAAACGCTCTAATTCTTTTTTTAAAGGTTCTGTTAATATTCTATTTTCATTCGTTCACCAGTAGAGTGTTTTAAAATGTTTCTTCAAGGGTGAGTGATGTTTCAAGCTTCCTTTACCCGAATAAGAAGAGTTTATATTAAATTCTCTCTGGGTAGATTTTGTAAAATTCTAGTAAATTTCGGGAAATTTCAAGGGAAATTTGAAAGCGAGTTAACGCGACGAAAACGCCTCGGCGTGGTATTACACGAGTGCAACTTCCGCGTGAAAGGCTCGTGAAATATTTTGGTAATATCTCAAGAGTGCTCCCAGTAGCCGGCTCGCTTTTTATCACCGCCAGCTGCAAAATGAATTTCACGCTGGGTTGCTTCGGTAGTTTCAAGGCCGGCTGATAATTGCAGGATTGATAGATGAAGCCCTCCGTTCTGCTTGAGAATTACCCAGGCCCCAGGTTATGTTAGGATCTCCTCGAGTATCAAGAACTCCGTTGCATCGATAAATATTGAGATTAATCGTTCCTAAATTTTCCTGCTTTTTAAACTTTTAGATACAAATTTTTCTGTTTTTTCTTTGCAAATTTTCAAACCTAGCTATTCATCTTGGAATATTAATATACGGTGTTGGTTCGAGGTTATGGTTGCCTTGAGACGTTGCTTAATAAAAACAATCTCAGAATACTATTTTCCGCCAACGATGAATATTGAGAATTTTCCTGATTTTTAAATGGAATTTTTCTTTTCTTAATTTTAAAATTTTGATAGTTATTTTGAAAATATTGATATACGGCGTTGGTTCGCGGTTATGGAACACCGCTTTTCTTTCTTGGAAAATTAAACTTTTCAAAATTCTCGCAATTTCTTCCTCAAATACCTTTCTTTCTTTCTCTCTTTCAGCCTCTAAACTCGACTCTTGCGGTGGACAAACAAATATTGAGTATCCTCTGGAGCAATGCACACACACACGCGCGTACCCACACAAGCAGCTCGCTAAGATCAACAAAAGGTAGGTTTTCCTTGGGCAAATTGGACCTGATACTTTCATCAAATCGTCCACTCGTAACGTTTAATAATGTCGCTAATATTTAATTAAATCGCAATTCAATTAGTGCCGTTGCTTCTAAGAGAGATGAGACCGTGGTATGTTTGCACGATTTTAAGGCCGTCTGACGCTAGTTATCCTCGTGATAAAATTAACGAGTTTCGTATTCACGATGAAACAACCATAATGTAATAAAACTACAATTTACGTCTCCGTAACATTTCCACCATTTATTTATCTACACTTTGAAACGATAGTTTTAGAACGTTTCCAATATGTCGGTATGTGACGTTATTATTGTCAAAATATAAACGCGTACGATATTTTTTAGAAGATATTGCGATATTTTCAACGATATTTACATCGAAATATTGAGCTTGATTGTTCGTCGAATAAAAATTCATTAGCACGACAACGCGAACGCGATATTGAATTTTTAATAACATTCGCCAGAAAACACGGAGAGATTGTAATTTCATG